TTCTTCCCATTCTAAGAACTGAAACGAAGCAGGACCAATCATGGCCAGGGTGAAAAAAAGTTCATTGCCAGACGACGGCCGCCTTCTCTATCCGCACGCAAAATCACACCCGGCGCTTGCCCTGGGCAAGCGCCGAAGCGCTTGCCGTGCCTCGGTGTCCGCGGGAGTGGACACCTCCAGGGCGATCTCCTGCATGGTCTTCCGCTCCTGCCGCTCTCCTGCGTCACAGACGTGGCGTGGGGCCCACTGGCCTTCACAAAGCCTCAAAATGCAGGGGCACGTGGGATGCCCCAAATATTGCCAGGGGGACAAGGGGAACCCTGTACGTTAAAAACAAGCTTCGCAAGTGTGATCTGACGCGTCTGGCGTTGCGCAATCTTTTGGGAATCCAACCTACATGACATTGATACTTGACAGGGCCTTTTGTGGTACCAGGGCTTACCTCCATGAACCCGGGGCTTCGGTAGGGCACTGGCCGCCACCCCCGGCCTGCGCTGACTTTCGGCTCCACCGGCGGCGCAGTTGCGCTCACAGTGCGACGCAGCGCTTTGCCCCGGTCGTTCTGTGGCTGTGACCTCGGTCGGGTCTGAGGGCATTGAGGGCAAGGAGGGCATGCGACAGCGAGCCTCACACGCGACATCGACGCAGCATTCAAAACCTAGTGGCTTGGAGGGCGAATTCCTGCCTGATTCTATATCAGTCCGAAGGCCTCACAGCGCGCGGCTTCGCAAGCAACCGTGCCAGAGAAATTGCCGCTCCGTGATTCTGTGATTGGCATAAGGGGAAGCAACTTGTGTCACCAGCAGCCCACTAGTCGCACCAGACAAGCACCGGCTCAGAACCCACTAAAAATAAAGCACTGAAGCGACAAGCCAGCAGGGCTGCAGCCGGGCAGCTTTGAGCGCGCATCTGCTGATATGGCTGCTGCGGCTGCTGATGCTGCTGCTGTTGCTGCTGAGTCTGCAGCAGCTGGTACTGTTGATATTGAAGCATCTGGCGCTGCTGGACTTCCTTCATCTGCTGAAGCCTTGCAGCGCTTGCAGAATAGCAGAAAGAAAGGAATGCATATCTTTGCACCAACCGGGGCATGCTAAAAGGTGGCTGGGCTCAGCCCCATGTCGCTTTACAACCAGCCTTTAAAGCCTGAACTGTCCCTCCTTCCCTGCGGCAAAGGCAGCAACATGGCGCGGCAACAGCTAGAGACGCTTGCTACATCCTGCTACACCTCACTGAGAGTAATCCTGGCCCAGTCGCTGAAACTGTTGCAGTTGCTGCAGCTGCTGTTGCACCTGCTGTCGCAGATGAAGCTGCTCGGCCTTGGCCAGGCAACCAGACCCTGCCTCACCTTCAGTCATGAGGTTTGCTTGTTTCCCTTGGGATTTTTCCATTTTGCCGTGAACTTCTGGAGGCTGCGCTGCCGAGATGTGGCTTAGGCTCAAAAGCCCGGTACCAAAATGGCTTGCCCTGGTAAGTGGCAAAAAAAACATGGGCCAAAAGTCTGCGTGCTTAACCCCTCCTGTTTAATTTTGAGCCACACCCATGTGGCATCCATCCAGGACCGCCTGGCTCGAACTGACCCCTCCTCCGCCCAAACCGCGCCTGCGAGGCCTGCGAGGCCTGCGCGGAGCGCAGTGGCTCCGTGGAAAAGGACCGCGGCAGCGGCAGCGGCGGCGAAGGAAGATGCGAAGGCGTCAGCGTCGCCGAGCGCGTGGGCGCTGTAGTGAGCCGGTCCCTGCCGACCGAAAAACGAAGCGAACGTGACAAAACGGGCGACGCGAGGCAGAAGACGCGAGTGAAGAGATGGCTTTGCCTAACCCTCACCTATCCACTTAGCCTATCAATCATCAGTGGATAGGTGGGGAAGGGATGTAGGTAGGAAAGGAACTGCAGGATGAAGATATGTAGAACACAGGCACCAAGCAAGCAAATGGCCGAGCCTCAGTGTAGTGCCCAGCTCCTTCATCGGCGAAGGCACCGTGTTGGCACGCTTGTGGTCTTCAGGGACCTGGACTTTGACCAGCGCCAAACTCAAGGAACAACAAACCTGAAACGACTCGGTGGCGCACATTCGGCACAGGCCGCATCAAACAAAATAATTTGGCCATGGGTCAAAATCCCGTACCCCCAGTGAACATCCCAATCCCAACTAAAATAGGATTCACCTACCCCAAAACGGGATCCAAAACGGTTTTGACAACCACGGCCATTTACATGCCCAGAAACCAGTTGAAGCCCGTGCTTTCCCATGCCAGCATCCGCTTGCCTGCAGCAGCCGGTTCCGCGACACCCGGCGCACGTAGCGCTCGGGCTCCAGTCCGGGCGGCACCGCGGGCGCCGGCGGACTCTCCTGCGCAACACGCGGCTTCGCTGCAGCTGACCCGCTGACCCCGCACGGTCGGACGCCAAGGCGAGTAAAACTGGCAACTCACCCCCCAAGTGGCGGGTTAAAGGGAAACAACCCCCATTTCTGACTTTGATAACCCCCAGCAACCGTCAAAGTAAGGACCCCAGTAAAATTCGGCTAGCGCATGTCCCTAGGCTGCGCTTCCCCTTGCCGCGCCTCTGACTCGCTGCCGGAGGTCCACCTGAGGCTGGCAAAGAATATACATCCTACCAACTGAGCAACACGAAGAAAGCACCGGACTCCGTTTGCAAAAATACATGGATGGCCTGAAAAGCAGCGGAGGCAAACTCAGAACCCAAACCTTCCAAAGCTCACATGCTGAAACCGGAAAGCATGAACCTCAGCACCGTGACCATGAGGCGCACAGCTCTTTCCAGCTTTCCAGGCCCATAAACAGACTGGCAATGCAGCCTGCATGAATCCTCAAGAGAACGGCAAATGAAAGATGGGTCCCTCGGTGGCTTCTGGGCGCAAACCGCTTTTAGTGCAACCTGGAGTGCACTTGCATGTCGACCCTATATTTTGCAACCCCAGTATGTGATTTTTGGGGTGTTGTCCAACTAGGTTGAGTGGGGGATCAGACCACTTTTGGAGTTGAACACCCCCACCCCCTATTAATAAACTTGTTGGTTGACTAATCCTGTGGATGGACGAAATCCATTTCGCACCCCCCAAGACACCCGGTTTCTGATATGATTCCCTGCCAATACAACACCAAACAACAGTTTAAAAAAAGCCACGGCTTGATTTCTGCTGGTGGGGGGCTTCTGGATTTCGATGTCAACCAGCCGCAGTATTCATCAAGCAACTCACCAACCAACCAACCATCCGCAATCATAGGTGTCCTTTTAGGGGAAACTAAAGAGCCTGGCAGATGACTAAACCACCAGGTAAACCAGGCATCGCCCTCGATTTTCCTGCCGAAACCACCAAAAAGGACACCTATGCCCGCTGGGGCCACTCTCTGCGGCTTCGTTTTGCCCGGGCGCAGGTTCTCCGCCAGCTCCAGCAGCTGCACCACCGGCTCCGGCAGCTGCGCCGCGAAGTGCGCCCCCGGCACCACCAGCTGCGCCATGGCGAGCGCCGGCGAGCCGGAAGCACCCGAGGAGCCGCCGACACGGAGCCGCCTTGCTGATGTGAGGGGGTGAGTGGGGGGAGATGCGGAGATGCTAAGCCCGAAATGACCTGGAACGCGAAATCGAAGCCCTCAGCCCGAAATGGAGGGAAGGTGGGTGAGTGGAGGGGAGATGTTTGTGAAGGTGGGGCAGATGCGTGGGGCGTTCGGGGCTCTGAGCTGAACTTGTTGGGTGCCCCGTCTGGGGCCGGCCACCGAGAAGTGTGACCCCTAGTTGAAGTGGCCAGCGGGGCTCCAGAATCAAAGTGGCAGGTGGTGCGTCGCGAAATTGCAGACGCGCAATTGCATGTTGAGATGAACGCAAAGTTCGTAAAAAGTCGGGCTGGCTGTCTCCTAATCGAAACATTGCCATAGAAGCAACCAGCTGACTCTGGCTCTTGAGCCGTCAGAACATGTGATCTGCGCGTCTCATCACGGAATTACAAGTGATCCACCCGCTTCCTTCTCACAGCACCCGCCTGACCCTCCAGTTGCATTAGCTGATTCGCACGCGTGACAAATCAACAGCGCCTGTCCTCATCCCCTTCATCATCGTCACCTACCTTGGCGTCTCTCAGCTTTCGCACGCTCCAAACCCTTTGCGGGCACCGGTGCCCGCAAAGGAAAAATGGCCAGAGTCATCTTTGGTCCCGAACCGCTTGACCAAAGAGAGTCATGCGAGGCCTTCGCTTGCCAAGGCGCCGCGCCGCCAATCCTAGCCTTGTTACCTCAGCATAGCAAAGGCAGAGAGGGAGTTTGCCCCCGGTGCTCGAGACTCCGGAGAATTCCGCCGCGGAGCCCTTGCGTGCATCTCCTCGCTTTCGGTCGGCTTCCACATCCCCTTCCTCAGGACCAGAAAAAGTGGTCCAAAGACATCTTGCGCCGAAAAGCCGCCCGGCACCATGCGCCAAGATGCCATGACCAAAACGCCTTGTTCATCGTCATCCGGGGGATTCTGCAGTGACTCTGTCACATCTGGATGCTTCTGCGGATGCTGGCAGCAGCTGCTTCCTGCCAAGCAACCGCGCTCCAGGTTCCCCCCCTCCCCTTTTTTGCGGACACGACAACCAGATGCGACCAAAGCCCGCCTGCCACTCCCATGGCTGCTAGCGGAAAGGAAGGGAGAGCGGCAAATCGTCTCCGAACGTCGCTAGACGGCGTTCTGGTTGCCCTGCTCTAGATTTGCCTTTGGGTAGGGTTGTGACATTTTGTGGGGCTCCGCCAGCTCGGAACCAAGCTGAGCCAAAAGCAGCAGAGCGCGTCCTCAGCCCAGCAGCTTCCTGCAATCAAATTGAGAAAGGCGTGATAAGGCCACACTCTCTTGGTTCTCCTGGCCTTCTGCATGACACCATGCACCCCCCCCCACCGCCCGCCCCCCTTCCATGATCAATATCCACATCAATGAAGCCGCCTACGAGGGGCCGCCATGAAAGGCCGGAAGAGCCCCCCGGCCGCGTGCCCCTCCCCAGCTGTGACCCCCACCTTGGCCTCCAGGGCTGCGCTCAAAGCACGCCTCGGTTTCAGAAAGGCATCGAGCCTGCGCTTAACGCCGCTTCCTACACTGCGCCAGCGGGAACCTGGGAACGTGGAAACAAACTCATCCTTGCGTCAGGGAGGTAACACTCGTAGCTCGCATGTCCCCTCCTGCCTCCAAAGCTTACCTTTCAAAAAGAGCACCTCATCCCCGTGCCCTGCACACCGCATTTTCTCCCAGCATTTCAGTCGGAGAAGAAAGCGTTCTTCTGGGTCTTGGGCGCCTTCGGGCAGGCACCGGACACACGGAAGAAACAAAACAAAAACAGGCAGCCATATAAAGATCAAAAAAGACATATGTGCATATATATGTATATATATATACATATACATACATACCTATATATATATATATGGTCACGGTGAGCATATATATATATATACATCTGCCGCACCATTGGTAAGCCGCCCACCAGACGTGGGGTGCCAATATATAGATATATAGATACAGTTTTGTATTTACTTAACTTGAGAAAGGACGGACCAAAAGCTGGCACCGCTTGCCAGAAATGCCAGGGGCGCTTGTGATCCAGCAATGTCAAAATTGCAATCTAAGCAGACAGGAAAAGCTTGGGTGAGGTCGAGTCCAACCCAAACAAACCACGAACGTAAATTAGCAAGCCTGAACCAACAGCAAGCAGTGGTCCAGCCCAGACAGGGCGGCAATCCAACCGCCCCCCCCCGTACCTGTGGACCCCCCCAATTCTTCTTCCAATGAGGAAACGGGCCCGTCGGACCCCATTGTTTGCCCACAGTCTTGTCACCCACCCCCCCCCAAAAAAAAAAAAAAAGGAAAAGAAAAACAGTACAAACCTCAAGCAAAGCCAGCTTTTGAACAAGAATGCCAGATTGGCATCTAAGCGCCCGCCTTCCTGAAAACAAGATAAGTTCCTACTTTGCCCGCTCGCCCTTTGAACTCCTTTGAGCCCCCTCGCTCCTCTGCTAAGCTCTCCGTCCCCCGCCTTGCGCGCCGCCTCGGCCAGGGCCCGCAGCTCGCCGTCCTCCAGCGCCCAGCCGCAGGCGCCCAGGTTCTCCTCCGCCTGTCCGCGGCCCCGCGCGCCCACGATGGCGCAGCCCCCGCCCTCCGTCAGCGCGAAGTTCAGCGCGACCTGCGCCACCGTCTTCCCCCTCGCCGCCTGGCGAAAATGCAGCGGAAGCAGCGGAACGGAGTCGAAGGAGGGACTGCCGAGGAAAAAAAAAAACACGCCAAAGGAAACTTGGGTCAAACTTGGGGCCATTCACAGGGCTCTGGTGCACAGAGGGGTCCGAAATGGCTTCAAATCGCAACACAGAGAGAGAGAGAGAGAGCGAGGGAGCAATGCATGCCTAAACTGATGATTCCTGGCTTCGTTGCACAAGATCGCGCAGCCACCTGTCATTGCGCCCGCTGGGCTTCGAGCGCTCCAAACAAAAAAGAATGCACATCGCGGGCAGCGGGCATCGCGACAACGCAAGACCAAGGCGCCGCGATCTCCCCCATCAAGGCCAGCAAGTCCTGGGTGTTTTTGTCAGACAGCAGCGTCGACGAGAGGAAGGAGCGGAGGAAATTGCCGGGCAGCTGCCTGCCAGTGGCATCTGCCTGCGGCTGGCGAAATGGGCATCGCATGTCAGAAGTGGGCCTGAGGTTCCGATATGTCCCGAAATGATTTTGATCATTTCCTAGGAACTCAACCGGCCGCAACAGGCTCTTTCTTCAAGCGTCCAGCCCCAACCAGATGTTCCAAACCCGATGCTTCCGATGAAACTACTTGCCACGCAAGGCGCGCCAGGCAAGGCCCAAACCCAAGGGGCCTTGTAGCGGCCACCCAGCACGCCCAGGCAAAGAGGGCTGTATGCTACCAGCCGAACTCCTAGCTCCTTACAAACTTCTGCAACGCCGGACTCCCGCTCCACCGACAGCAGGGAGTACTGCACCTCATGGGCCAAACAGCAAAAGACAGCAGCAGCGACTGATTCGGGTCGACGCGCTGCCCTCGGCCTGGTTCAGCACCAGCGGCACGCTCCGCGCATCAAAGATGGCAGCAGCACGGCGGAGGTTCCTGTCATCCGAGCTCATCCGATTTCCATCGGCACTCGGCGGGTTCACTCTGCTGACTCTGCTTCCCCCCGCCTGGGCCCAAAGTTCGACAGGCCCACGCCGCGGCACAGCCCGGCCTCGTAGCAGCGACAAAGTCCCTCCAGTAGAGCGTCCTCCTGGCGACTTCGTGCGCCATGCCGAGAAACCAAAGAAAGCCTTCTGGGGGCGGGCTCAACGCCCTCCGCACCAAAGCATTTGCAACTCGCCTCGATTCAGCCATGCCCGTCCTGAAAGCCAAAGCCATAGCTGCGGGGGCTCCAGTGCATCTGCGCCACGTCCACGCGGCCCATGCGCTTTTCGCTCTGCTGCACTGCCTCGACCATGGACTCGGGCGTCAGGCGCCAGGGGTAGGCTGCCAGCTTGGTGGCGAGAATCGGACGATTCTCCTTTCATCGAGCTTGCGAGGCAAGTCTTTGTTCACTCAATGCGGTGGCCACGCACTTTATTTGGGAGGCCTGCCCTCACCACACCCGAGCTTCCTCAACTATGATAATGCTTTGCTTGTCGCTTCTCAAAGATGAGAGTGGGAAGGGAGGTTGCCTGTGCTGCAAAAGTGCAAGGATGGCCTCAACTCCTACAAGGCACCTCGTGAAGCAGCCGTAACACTGGGAAAAAACCACAAGTTGTTTGCAAGCAAAACACACACACACACACACACACACACACACACACACACACACACACACACACCAAAAACAAGGCTATCAGGCCCAGAGTTTTTGTTCGCGAGCTCTCGGTCCTCTCGGTCCTCGACTTTGCGGGCGAAGCGCCCAAGCAAGATCTCTGCTCTCCCCTCCAGCTCGCCCGTGCCGTAGCTATCGCCGGTGTCAAACCTCAGCTGCGCATCGGGCCAAACGCGGCCCGTGCCCCGTCGCCCTGGACCTACTGGAAGCAAGCGAAACGGACCAGGGCACCAGTTGGCGCCGCCGGAAGTGAAGGCGTCAAAGACCTCCTCCAACTGGCCATCCTTGCAGACATCTTGGCTTTTGATGTGCAGAAATGCTCGGCGACTTCATGTGACCGCTCGACGTGGCCCATGTGTCAGCTCAACTGGCAATCGCGCGACTGACTCGCCTCAAACTACCCCGACACATCCTAGAAACACCCCGGAACCGGGGATCATCGCATGGGATCATCGCAGCTAACCTTGCCTGCTGGGGGTCGTAGCCCCAGAGCAGCTTGTTGCCCCACTGCCAGGTGCCCACCCCCAGCTGCGAGAGCGTGAAACCCGCCCGCGTGGAGAGCTGCGGCACCAGCGCCTGCGCGCACGACTTTCGGGCGCGCCGAGCGCCGGGCGCTTTTCCCCTCCGCCCGCCCTTCTTGGCACACGCCGATGTTAGGCGCTTCCACATGTTGTGTAACATTTGGAGGGCCGAATTTTCCTGTTCAAAACTTACAATATGCACATAACAAAGCATATTGATGTAGCCCGACCGGCCATGACCCCACCTGGCCGCCCAGGATGCAAAGCAGGCCCAGGCGCCAGTGCCGTGCACATGAGCGGCACAGACGCATGGCTCAAGGCTCAAGACAGAGACTGAAGTTGCATCCTCAAGTTGACTCTTGCGCATCTGGAAGACTTGAACCAATGCAGCACCTACCCCACACATGAACTCGAACCACGGGGCATGAATCTGAACCTGTGCAAATGCTGTACGATCAAAATTTGACCTCTGGAGGTGGAGCATTTCTCGGCATGGGGGGGGGTCTTCATTCTTGCTCCTCTGTTGAGTCCAACTCGTTCAACTCGTGGCGAACCTGTCTGTGCATGTTATTTCAATTTGAGCCTTCAAGGCAGGCATTTGCGTCACGACCCAGCCATTGGCTGCGTAGCACCGTGTACCTTGAGAAGCCTCCTGGCGCAGCCGAGGCCAGGGCATCTCGAATCGGAGCTCCCCTCTGAACCTGGAAAGCAACAGCGACCGGCCTGCAAATTACAAAATCTGTCCTGAGATTCTTTGCGGCCAGTCCCAACAAAGGTGCGAGGGCATCCTTCTGTCAAGCTCTTCCCTCTCCATAACTTGTGTCTTGCAAATGTGGTAAGTCAAAGGCAAGGATCTCTTCTTTTCTCCAACGCCAAAAAAAAGAAGAAGGAAAAGCGCGACCCCACTGTTCCGCAGCCCCGGGCCCCGGGCTCCGCCAGCGCACTGTCCACGGCAGCCCCAATGGGCCTGGTCGCGGGGTTCCATGCCAATGCTGCGCGATGATGCCCAACTTGACATCCAGACAGCCAGGGCCCACGCGTGCCAGGCAGCTGTTGCGCCTGGTTGAAAGTCTGCGGGGCTAAGGTCTGCATCAACCAACCCAAGAGCCCTTCACTCTTTTGACGCGTCTCTGTACCGATTTCGCCCAAAAACGACCATCAACCATCGCGGTTCTATTTAAAAAATATAAAAAAACGGCCTCCGGGAGTCTAACCTCCTGCCCTCATTTGAGACACGGCTTGGCTTCTGAAAGGTCGCTTCTCCGCCTCAAAGGAGCAGCGGCGGCAGGCGCAAGCAAAGCCCCACTTGCGGGACTCGCCTGCCAGCTTGCAAGGACTACTGGCCCGGGCTGTCCGCGCAGATCCCCCACTACAAGCTTAACTTTTAGTGGGTAAAATGGAAAATCCCTACTAAACAGTAGGAAACTTATTTATATATGTATTTAAAAAAAAAAAAACAAGCGGACGGCTGGGACCCTCCTTGTCTGAAACGCCCTTGATGCTTCATGCTCACAGGTTTCTTGGCCACTCGAGAGCTTGGCTTTCCAGGTCTCTCATTGCGTCGAGCTGGGCCTTGTCTGTCCGCAAGGGAGCCCTCCACGTCAAAGTAGCGGTGGCCTGATACGCAAGCACAAGCCTACCACTCTCCTCACATTTGCGCATTCAGATCATCTGCCTGATTGCGGGTTGTTTTTTTGTGCTTTTTTTTTAATGAGATGAGATGCTGCAGCCGGAGGAGAGAAGCATGCAACACATCGCCAAAGCAGAGGTCCAGGGACCCGCGCAAAGCTCCTCACCCGCCTCTAGGTCCCTAGTGGCGGTAAAAATCATCGCCTCACAGGGGCTGGGGAATACCTCGTGCGGCCCCAGGGTCAGATGGTCAGATGGCAGCGCCTTGTCAAAGAAGACGAGCACCAACTTCATGGCTGAAGCACCCCTGCCGTCGCAGCCTCATGCACGCGATGAGCGACCGTAAACAAATGCATCGCTTGGATCAGGAAACAAATGCATCTCGAAGCGCGGCCCGCCCTCGAGCGCCAAGCTGTGGTTCAGCATGGAAGGTAAGCCGTACAATGCGGCGAAGCCTCTCTGAGCTTCACTCTGCACAATCTTAGGCGGTCTTCAGTTCGGGGGTTGTGCGTGGACGCACCAATCTGCGCCCACAGCCAAGGCTTGCCCCTCGCCGTGTGAGGCAAAAGGCAGGCCTGGATCCACGGTGAAGACCTCGGCCCCAGGAAAGGATGAAGACGACCGCCTCGCCACCATAGGTGTCCTTTTTGGTTGGTTTGCTTAAAAAATAGAGGGCCCTGGTTTAGATGGGGGTTTATTCCATTTACCAGGGAAACCCATCTATTTTTCCAAAAGGCCACCTATGCTCGCCACTTGCTCTTCGTGACCGCTGGCTGTGGCTCCCGGACGTTGTGGTTCAGAATCTCCGTGAGGTTGAGATCCCCCTCCGAAGCCTCCACACTCGACGCCACAAGCAGCCACGATACCAAAGACTGGCCTCCTTACTTTACCATGATCAAAGTCCCCCCCCCCGTTCAGTGGTGGGTCAAGGGAAACAACCCCATGTAACACCCATGTACTGACTTTGAAACCCCCAGACACCGAACCAAAATGAGGACCCCAGAAAGATCCACGGGTGCCTGGCCCTGCGGCACCGACGCAAGCGTGTCCGTGCAGTTGAAGAGAGCCTGGCCGAGCAAACTTGAATATGCCAATGAAAAAATACCGCGTGCAACCTGCCTCGGTGACCACTTCTGGAGACAGCGCGGCACCTTCACAAGCCAACGCGCTAGAAAGCTTGATTTCAGCAGCTCAAAGTGGCTCAAAAGTGGCGCCACCAAAGCGGTTCCATCATAGGTGTCCATTTAGGGAAAACAGATGGTTCTGGTAGATGAGTAAACCACCAGGTAAACCAGGAATCGCCGCCTAATTTTCTACCAAAACCACCAACAAGGACAAGCGGTTCCAGGCGCTGAAATGTTTTGCGCCTCCGCCCCCCGCGAGGCACTGCAGCCGCTTCTTGGCGCGGCCGGACACGGCACCTGAGGCTGGAAGTCACTTCCGGCGAGGGACTCACTTGACTGACATCCCGGCTTTGGCACCACGCTGCCATAAGAGCTTCAGCCAGATACACAAATCCCGAGAGTTTCAATGCCAAGCCTGAAGCCATAGCACCCTGTTTGTCTGTCTGTCCCTTCTGGCCGGCCTGCCCACAAACACTGACAAGAGTTGGTATAAAGTCTCCGCTTGGTGGATCTTGCGCTTCAAGAAGACAGGAACGCATCAGCAGTTCACGAGTGCTTGTGTGCATGTGCAATGAAAATGCTGCATTGTTTCATCAAAATGTCAAAACGGCCCATCTAGCTTGAAACGCTTTTTCCATGCACTCCCCCCCCACCCCCATCCCCCGCCCCATCCCCCCATCCCCCCACCATCCCACACCATCCCACAGACAAAATTGGCGCTCGTTTTTGTTGCAGATTTTGAAGGGAACCTCCCCAAAAGGCAAAAGGCATCACCACCGGGTGTCCTTGGGAAACCGAAGACCTTGCCGCAAATCATTCCCAGGAGGGGACCTTGAGCTTGAAGGAGATGTCATCCCCATCCCATCACCCATCCCCCCCCCTTCCCCCCACCCCCCCCCTTTCCGCCGAGACATCGGACCGAGCTGCGGAGCTTGGGGCCCCGGCACTTCCGCCGCAGCTCCGCGATCAGCGGCGCCCCGTTGCGCTCCGCCGAGGCGATGGGCCGCGACACCAGCAGCAGCTCCCCGGCCTGCGACAGACAGACGGCTGGGCTGGAGCTTGGCTGGGCTCGGCCTGAGGCCTGCTGTCCCCAGGGGGGAGGAGAAAAAAAAGAAAAAGAATGAGAAAGGCTTGCTGGGGTCGTTAGTTTGACCGTTTCCGGGGGTCACAGCCAGAAACTGGTTGGTGGCTTGTTCCCTTCAACGTGCCACTGAGCGGGTGACCTTGACCATGGTCCAATCGTGCGGCTGGTTGGCCACTCGGTCCGCCCTTTGCTATCCGAAAGCCGAGGTGGAGCCAACCAAAGAGGGCGTCCCAATGCCTGGCAGTCACTGTATGCAAACGGCCACTGCAAGGAGCAAAGGGATCGGAACTTGCTGAGTCGGGCTCACGGAGTGGTGCCAGCCAGGGATCGAGATTTTGCTGAAACATTGCTTCTCCAAACTGTTGGCCGTGGGGCAAAATCCCGGTTTCCCCCCCAATGAACATCCCAATCCAACCACTAAAATAGGTCCTAAAATGGGTGGTGAATTCACCTACCAACCAAAATGGGATCCCAAAACGGTTTTGACCCACAAAGTGGGGCCATCTCACCGAAATCCAGCTGCCTGAAGCCAATCAATCGAGCATGAGTGAATTCAAGGTTTCGGAGGGGAGCTAAGCCACTACACGTAGTATCACAAACCCATTTTCATTCAAGGGTGAAGGCTTTTGTTATCCTTCACCGGAAGGATGGGAATCATGCGTCCCGGCGGCATGGTTTCTCGGGGCCGCAAAAATGTATACCACGTGGCTCGCAATTCGCACAGGGGCGCCCCTTCCACTAAATGGGAAAAGCTGCCCATTATCATTTTGGGGCCAGGGATCAACACCCACTTGCCCTCGGACAGCCAAGAAAAATCGGCTTGGCTCACCATGCCCACCCTCCCCCGTATCCGGTCCACCTTGACTGGCCTGGAAGTAAAGAGCCTAGCCATGAGCTGGCAGCGCGTGCGCATGTCGTGCTGGCACGTTCCAGCGGCTGCTGTACTTGTGCCACGGCCCCCGTCCCCAGTGCAACACATGCCAGGTGCGGCCCGCGCTCTCCGATGCCCTCGTTCATCCAGCGCCTTGGGCATTGGAATGACTTGCGCTGATGTTGATCGCCATCAAGGGAAGGCAATGGCAATGTGGCTCATGAGGCATCAGAACAAACAAAGACGGCCCCCATGCGATGGCATCTCCATATGGAAGTTGATGGGTCATGGACAAAACGCGCGGCTGGCAAAAAGTTGATTGCCGTTCCTCTCACCGTTTTAGCCGCAAGAAGCCGTGCGCCCTGAGGCGCTCTGCAATCTGCTCTCGCGGTTCTTTGTTTTCCCCCGGCGCGGTTTTTTTTTTTTCCTCGACGTCCAGGGCTGCACGGCCCAACGCCGCAGGAGATCCCACGTGGCGTTGGGCCGCGGCGTCGGCGGATCAGCGCTCCAGGGCCCAGGTGACAAACTCATTGTAATTCACCAGCTCCTGGCATGGCCAATCTTTTTGATGGGGAACCCCCCGAAAAGTGATTGGTGGACACAAATCCCCCACCGAAATGAAGTCCACCAAAGGCTCCCAGATTAAAATGCATACCCAAGGTTCTCAGTCTGATTTCCTCCTTGGCGGGGAGGAAAGGATTAAGGAATTCCCGCTCTGCCTAAATCACTCGCATGGACATGTAAACCTACGCACCTTGACTTTACAATTGACACACAGCCCTTCAGTATTGCCAGCCTTGGTTGGACGTTCTTTCGATCGGCAACCCCCATTAAAGCACCTCGATTGGTCTTACCTTGTGGCCTGCACATCTTGCCCAAGCCGCGTGCAAAGTTGCATTCTGCGCATGGCTGCGTATGCTACCTGGCATGATCTTCCGGATTCCCTAGTGGTGAAGTACTCCAAAAGCATAAAGTTGCTCGAAGAGAGGTCTTGAGCACGGCGCCACTACGGTAATAAAGCACGTTGCCGGACTGCAGAACTTCACCATCCTGGAAAAACCAGCCCCCTTTGGTCAACAAGCTCCCAATGTACACGATTTGTGCTCGACCCTCTCCGTCCGACCTGCTCACTTGCTTGTGCGAATGCTGGTAAGCATTCTGATGTGCTCCCCATGTTGGTTCAGTCAGGCCTTTTTGTCGCCCTTGACTAAGCCGCTGGGTGGAACGGTCCTCATTTCCGCCCTCCTTCGTCAGGTCCTTCAGCCTTCATGGGCTGAACGGTTGCAAGACAACCCGCTGGCACCGTTTTTTTCCACGTTTCCCCCCTCCCCCTTTTTTTCCGTTTGTTTTCCCCCCCCCCCCTTTTTTTGTTTTAGTTTTTTTTTTTTTTTCCCCTTGGGCTGGCTGTACCAAGAAGCATCGCTTCCACCTCCTCAACCTCGAAGCGCTCGCCCATGGAGGTCATGACGTGCATGAAGGCCTTCTTGGACATATGTCCTTTTCGCTCCTGGCCCACTCAAGCCGCCAACCGCGCGCACTCCGATTTCGGTGCCGGGCCGGGTCATACTGCTCGAAGAAGGATGCCAGCTCATCAAACGAAGGGTCCTGGCAGCCCGAAGCACTGCCGGCAAAAACGGGGCATGCTCACTCAAGGTCTGCATCACCCCTTTCAACCTTCCATAGCTGTGTTATTATGCCTACCTTTCGAGGCTTTCAGGTTGGTGACCATTTCGGCTGCCTGGCATACCTGCCTGCCTGGCTGTCTGGACGAAATGCCGCATGAAGACATGCCGATGGCCTCGTAGCCTGTCTCCTCACAGCAGCGCAGAAAGTCTTGGCAGCTTATTCTCTGCACTGACGAGCCCTGGCACACAAAAGTTGGCCGTGGGAAGTAAGCGAATGCAACTATACAGACTGATACTGTGGATGGACAAAATCCGTTCGCACCACTTTGAAGCCAATGCGGAAACCATGGTTTGTTGGTATTTACCAGAGAATCGAATCATTCCAGGGTTTCTGAACGGTGGTGCGAGAAGCGGATTTCGTCCATCCACAGTATGCGAATATCTATGCGTAGCTCTAGGGTCAACTGCATTTCTGTCGCTTCAGCCTTCTTGGTGACGGACTTCCAGTGTGTCGCTGGCCGGTCTGTGGCACTCCGTGAAAAATCAATAATCATGGCGCGTCACATTTTGTTCTGAATAAATTGATCTGCGGGTCTTGCAAATCAAATATCTGCCAAATCAGAAGTATGCACTTGTTTGCTCTGCCCTGGGTTCGGGAAATCAGAAAAGGACAAATTGCCTGTTGGTTGTCTCTAATTTGGAGGCTAGAAAACAAAACAAGAATTAGAAAGATCAAAATCATATGCATGTCTGAAACTCCGGGGCCACAAATACGCCCACCCCCCTCCGAACAAAAATAAGTGCCTGGCGGCGGAACAATGCCTTATTTATAGGGTACATGTCGAAGTAGGTTCCTGCTGTTGCGTGAGTATTTGTTCTGAAGTCCCTCCCATTACGGCTGGAGTTGGGGTGGGCGGCACATCTGCTGGCTTGAGCAACTTAGCATTAGCATACGAAGGGGCCTGGGAAATACATGTATGCATGTATGTATGTCTGTATATACATATATATCTGTGTGTAGATAACAACTCTACATACATACATGCATACACACACATACACGTCTCAGGGAAGCGTTGGTCGGGACCTTCCCCGCAGCTCGGTGTACGCGCCTCGGTGTAGCGCAGGAGCTGCGCCTCGGTGGGCGCGTAGCCCTGCAGCCGCATCAGGCGGCCCAGGTCCGGCGCCTTCAGCGGGCCCTGCGCCTCGCCGACGGATCGCCCCACGGATCGCCCGACGGCCGGAGGCCGGAGGAGGGCCGCGCGTGGCGGGGGGGTTTTCCTTTGCATCCCCCCCACCCAACCATCTTGGTTTCTTGTTGTTTTTGCTTTTCCTTTCTTCTTAAGAAGGTACCCGCCCAAAACCACACACACACGCACCTCTAGGAGACATTTTTGGATTCGCGCTTTTGGAGGATTTGATTTCAACTGTTCTTCCCCCTGGTTCCTTGTTTTGGTACTCTTTTAGTACTCGTTTAATATCCTACAGGAGTGGATCCACAACAGCCGCATCCAAACCGTTTTCCAGACCAAAGGATGCCAATGAGACAACAGCGCTGAAACGACATCGTAGGCAGAATTCTCTCCTTTGCTCGTAGTATACTGCCCCAAAACAAGCATCACTGGGTGGTGCCTTCTCCCATTCCTCGTAGGCACGCGTCAGCTTGCTCACCTGGCAATGTGCATTCCCCTGGATTCGCACAAATATCTGCTTGCAAATTCCAGGGGCATCAGGATGCGCCTGGAAACGCGATAAACAGGGTGCCTCATTTCCAGCATCCCCTCTTGCTGTCGCCCATCGCGCCTGTGAGGCATGCTGACCTGCGCCAAGGGACCGCGGCTACTTCGAGCAGTCAACATGATTCAACATGGTTCAGCATACTTCGACAAGGCAAACAGCGGCAAATCATAGGGGCGCCGCTTCCCAGCCTCCCTCCCCATCCGGCATCGAAGACGCCGCCAAGAGACCAACACTAGCTGATTACTTCTGCTGTGTGCTCAGGACCTGTTCAGTAAATGCAGCACAAACTCCTCATGATTGAAAAGGCAACGTGGGCGCTGCGGGGGTGGTCATCAAGAATGCGGATTCACGTTTGAATTGTGTGCGGAATTGCTCGTCCTAAGATTCCTCATGCGGTTTTGTCGAGTATTCAAGATGTGTTTTGTCATGTTGCGTTGCTCAAAGTCCAAAGTCTACTTGCTACCAAATCTGGAATAGCAAAACTACTTCAACTTTGCGCAGAGCGGCGACGATGACACTCATGTCCAAAACATGCAACAGATTGGTTTGTCAACAGCTCATGGGTGTGGCTCACATCTGCCTTTGCTGACCCAACTGCCCCCCCCCCCCACGGTGTGTGTGCTGCCTGTCCTTTCTCAGGCAGGAGCTGACGCTCAAAGCTCGGAAGATCTATGACGCCTCCACCGAATCGACGAGTGTCTTCAGCATCTTGCGGTAGGCAGTTCTAACCACCCATGGCAAAACCCAGCCCAGGCCGAAGTAGGGTGTGAAATTTGACGTCCACGTCACCAATGTGCCGTCCCCGGACGCTGTGAATGTCACGCGGGCACGGTTGTAGCCTGGCAAAAGCGATGCAGCTTGGCCTCATGTCAGCACATCTGCCGACTAGGCAGAAACAATCAGCCTCCCAAGCGAGCCGAGAAACTGACAGGGTAAGGCCCTTTCTCGATTACATACTCCAGGAATTCCTGAGATAGGACATGGAGCGCCATCCAAATCAACACCAAGCAAATTTGGGCATCGGGGCAGCACGGCACAAGGTGGTCCAGCTGCAGGAAAGCTAGGCAAGCCAAGCTTCTCCGTGCTTGCCTTCGAGAATGTGCTCCACCAACCGGGCCACACCTCGAACACATCCAGCGCCGCTGCTGTCGCCCGGCTCCAAGATGGTCGCCTCGCCAATGCCACCGCCTGCAATGGCTTGGGCCAAAGAACTGCCCAGGAAACCTGGAAACCAAATGAGTCATAATCAAAACCCGGTATTAAAATGGTCTACCCAGACCCATGTAAAGAAACAGGAAGGCGCAGCCATTTCTGGTTGGGATCATCCCTTGCTAACCTTCATCAATATCCGGGTTTTGAGCACGTGGCTCAAATGAACAAAGCCCGGCGACGGTCCACAAAAAACTGTCCGGCCCCGGCTCAAGCCCAGCCTTGCCGCCAGATCACCTCCAGAAACTGGTCGTGGCATCTGCCAGGCTCCAGCGCCACGAGTTGCTCCTCTGTGACCGTGCAGCTTCCGACGTCCATGGCGCAATGCGGTGCACTGTCGCGCGTGCAAGCTCAAGGTGCTGACGGCCAAGGTTCCTCTGCTACCTCTGACCTCGTGTCACTGTTCGGAGGTGCCAACTGGCAAGTTGTCCCAATCTCTCTCTCTCTCTCTCTCTGGGGCACGGCCGCCCGGTTGGCCCAAGCGGCTACACACAAGGGCTGGACACATCATGCAGACATGGCTGGCGCTCGAACCAAGCGAAAGACAAAGAAACATGGCGAATACCCCAGACATCCGAAGCGTCCCAAACACCCAACACATCCCAAACCAAAGATATGCCAAACAACACAGGAAAGCGCAGACAAGTCCCAAGGTCCATGAAGCCAAGCCCCGGGCACCTCTACAGGGCCCACGTATTCTGCCACCTGTGTCGGGTCAAATGCTTGGGGGAGTGGGACAAGGTCCCATTTCAACAAAGCTGAAGATGATTCACACGTACCCTTCTCCATTACTGCGAATGGTTGCAAAATCCGAGACCCCACCACGAAATGAAACCATGGTTGAATCACAACGTTGGTTGGTATTTGCGTTGGCGAATCGAATCATGCCAGGGCTTCTGAACGGTGGTGCGAGAAGAGGATTCCGTCCATCCACCGCCGTTTCTTTTTTCCTGTTCCACCAGGTTGACCAAGAAGTGAGCAGCTCATGGCCCGTCTTCACCGCGCCGACGGAGCGAGCCCGGTCCACCCCCCCGCCTGAGGCAAGGCTTTCGCCCAGCCCCAGTTCGGCAGCGGCAGCTCCGTGGGCGGCTCCGGCCGCCAAAGCCTCCCCAAAACGGGGCCCGAGCCAACGGAAGCCGATCCACTCCGAAGCCGCAAGTTGCAAAGGGCGATGCTTGCCGTACGCACCGTCCGCCAAAAAGCTCGTGGCCAGTCAAAGACCACATAGAGCCGCGAAAAGTTGAGGAGAGAGCCGCTTCGGCGGTTCTAAGTGGAAAAGACTTCGCTGGAGTTCGGAAACGTTCGCCGCTCCCCGAATCGCATCCACAGCAAGTCACATGCCCCACACTGGGGGGGTTGAAATCAAAAGGTCCTTTACATGGCATGGCAGCTGGTTGGAAAACCACTAGAAAAAGATTTGAGATTTCTCCATGGGAAAAGTGATGGTAACTGGAAGGACGGAATCTTGGCCTCAACATCCCTGCCTCAAGGGGAAGGGGGGTGGGGGGGTCCCCAATTCCATTTATTTAGCCTTCCCCAAAGGGAAAATGGAACCACAAATGGCATTCCATTCATGTAGTCTCAATTTACGGTTCAATAAATAGAGATCTCCAAAATTCACCCCCTCAACCAATGCCATTTTTGAGGGGGTGGGGATGCCTCAACCTACATGCCCAGGCCCATCACCCCATCTTCCCGGTTCCCCCGGGAGCCAGGCGGGCCACAGAGCAGGCCCCGCTCGCCCCGCTGCTGCGCTCGAAGCTCCTCCACCCGGCCCAGCAGCGCCCGGCAGCTTTGGCGCTCCTGGCCGGGAGTCAGTGGAGACAAAAATTCGGTGAACCCAGAACCATGGAAAGAATTAGGAAGGCGGATATCCGCAACTCTTTCTGGCTGGGATCGTCCCTTACTAACCTTCATCTGTGGCTCAGGTCATGAGACATGTTTGTGTGTGCGTGTGTGTGCAGATGCCTAGCTTTGCCCAACCCAAAACATATGGGAGTCGACGGCAGTTGTCGACTAAGGCCTTTCAACGAAGATGGGTGTGGGTCAAAGTGAAACCACCAGGAATTGGACCGCCATTTACCAGGGCAAGCCATTTTGGGTACCCATGTTTGACCCACAGCATGGAAAAATGCGCCGGTCTGAGGGTTTTTCATTACACCCTGGGATTGCACCCTTGGGGAATGACCCAGAATGGCTCAAAATCACACGGACATGCGCCTAAATGGGGTCAACAGTGGGTGTATTCCCAGGGTGTGATGCAAAAACCATAAGAGCCGTGCAACTGGAACATGGGGAAATCCTGCGTTGCTTGGGTGGCTGAATCATTTTCATTAGGGTTGCCATTTGTCTTTTCAGATCCCCCGCGAAAAGTGACCAACTTGTGGGTTAAATGGAAATCCAACCACTGAACCTGCTAAAATGCTTACAAAGCTAAGGGGACAGCTGGGAGCCACCAAGGTAAATACACCATATCTGCATGCGGAACAGGGGAAAAGCGGTCGATTTTCATTGCGGGAGGGAAGATTTGGAGGCTTTGGATGGGGGTTGGGTTGGGTTGGGTTGGGTTGGGTTGGGTTGGGTTGGGTTGCGGTTGGGCTGGTCGGAGGCTTGCCCTGCACCAATGATGCAAGGAGCTCTGATCCTTCTGGACTGGACACATCAGTAAAGGATGTGCATGCAGAACTTCCTGCGGCGGTTGCCCAGCTGTGACCCTTGCACTGCTTGCTGAATTTGTACCTTCGTCGCCAAGGCAGGCACCCAAATGGAACCCTGGGAAGTGGAAACATGGACCAAAACCTGCGTAACCCCTCCTGTTGAATTTTGAGCCACACCCAGATGTGAAAAGCCCGGCTAGTCAGGAAGGCCCCTCCTCATCGTTGCCTCGCACTTCGGGATGTTGTGCCTCAAGCCGGCGACGGCTTGGCAGTCTTGCTGCCGCATGGCTCGCAAGCTTCGCCTATCACCTCCTCACACCCAGCCAAGGTGCTCCTTGCAGGATGCGGGCCGCCTGGCGAGCGCTGCGATGCTACGCGATGCTTCAGGATGCCGCTGCCGGTGGGGGAGGGGCCCTTTCTCTCAACCTCTGAGTCTCTCAAGACAAAGCCCCCAATTCAAATGCGCGGCACTTTCAACCTCTGATTTAATGATTTAACCAACAAAAAATCCGTGCGCGGTGCCACGTTCTCGCCGGAAGCCAGGACTTGCTGCAGGCACCTCCTCCCAGTGGTCGCAGGCAGCCGCTGCCACCGCTGCAGAGGCAAGGCCCTGAGACAGCGTTTGGCTGCTGGCCCAAGTAGAGCATTGGACGTGCCGCCGTGTCAACAAAAAAACAGGGTCCGGATTTGTTTGGGGATGTGTCCCGTATTGTTTTTGGTGTGTCTCCTGGATTTTCTGCCTTGCCCTACCCCGACGGAAAAGAAAAAAAAGTCCTACCATGTTTGCAGCAGAACTCCTGATAGCTCCGCACGGCTCCCTCTACAAGAAGCAAGCTTGGATACCCCCAGCTCCTCTCCCTTCCAACCGCCAGCTAGCTTCAAGAAAAAACGTCAAGCCAACGTCAGGCGTTGGACACCAACTGGCTGTGCACCAACTGGCTGTGGCTGAAAAACATGTACCTAAATGGCACCTTGGCAAATGGAACCAGAGACCAAAACTTGCGTAACCCTGGCTCTTTAATTTTGAGCCACACCCAACTCCGAGCCAACGCCACCCCCACCCCACCCCCCACCCACCCAACCCCCCACCCACCCCACCCGGCGGTGGACCCCAACTCAGTGGGAGGTAGAGCGCAGCCTCCACCGAGCAGGGCGGCTCCAGCAGCTCCACCGCTGCCTGCCAGGCGGCTGGCGCCTGCGCTCGCCCCGTCACAGAGTGAGGGCCCCTTTGGCCCACCTCAGTTCTCCACTCTTCCGGGGGTGTTCTTTGTGTCCAATGCTCTTTTTACTTGAAGTCTTGAACATAGGTGCCCTTTTGGAAAAATGGATGGCCCTGGTAAATGGAGGTCTGGAAGCTGGGATTTGGCACCATGCCCCATGGAGCACAAGACTTCTTGCCTCAAATGAGCAACCTGCGTGCTCGTGCTCAGCGACTCATCGCAAACGTGGAGACAGGTTGGCAAGCGTATAAGCCACTGGTCAGTTCGGGGGCCGCGCCCGGCAGAAGTCAAACCAGCGGATTCAAAGTTTGGCCCAATGGAGCGCCTTGCCTCATCTGCGAGCAGGTGCGCTTGAACCTTCTGCAGCCTTGGCGTGAGGCTCCTTTTGTGGCGGGAGCCCCCGCCAAACGCGGGTCAAAGATTCTGGGTCTTTCAAGAACCGCTGTTTGATGGAACATTTCGTGAGTCTGACCGACCCGAAAAGTGTTCATCGAACCTCACTTGGACGCGCTTGGGGCACGGCGGGGCATCCGTGCCCAGCAAGGACTGGCCTTTGGGCAGATTTACCCTCGCTTGGCTCTGGGCTTTTCCAGGCGCAAGACATCTTGGTTTTCGTCAGGGTCGCACCTGAAGCCTCCTGTTTGGCTGCCCACCCAAGACGGGTCTTGCAGAATGAAATCGCACTGGCATTGTTCGGAGTCCAGCCTAGGCGACGCAAGGCCGCAAAGGCCATGTGAGAAAGAATGGATCTTTCACTTCACATCTCCTGTTCCATAGGAAGCCAACAGCTACATTTGTCTTTTTGGCAACTCCTTTCATCATCTGGGGTGTCAACAGTTGAAAACGGAAACCAGTCAACGCAATGGTGCTTCAAGCAAGCAAAGTCAAGTTGCCCTGTTGCAAGCTATGGGAAGGCTACCTGTTTCATCTTGGCTGAGCCAAATGCTTCGGGCTGTCAGCTGGTGGCTTGCTCTGAAACCGCTGCTGCACTCTAAAACGACGGAAAACCATCGTTGGTTGGTAAAAAGGGGGAATCCCGTCATTCCCCCAAATTTCCAACATCCATCTTCCTGTCCGACCTCTCCACCTGGACTCGCGCCACGTCGCCCGGTCCGCACTCGTTTTCCATTGGCAACACGCCAGGCGCGGCTCTGAGAAAGATCTTCCCTGTACACGGGCCTCGCATGGCTCCAGCAAACGTGAGGCTTCTGAAGCACCAAAGCGAGCAGGAAGCTGGAGCCAAGCGGCCATTCACTCAAGACATTCATCACACCGGCACTTTTCCGGTGTGACCTAGAGACGTTGGCTGAAGGAAACGGGCTTTCTCCCCAGCCATCCTGAGTCCAAAAGCGAATCTCTCCAAAAGAGAGCCCGCCCCGACTGGTGGCCCAAATCTTGAAGCTCGCTCTACATAACAAGTATCTTGGCCGAGGACCCCCAATCAACACAAAGCCAGGTTAACGATCATAGCGCTGCTCAAGCCACAGCAAGGAAAATGCATTGGGGTCCTTTTCTCCACATGGTACATGTGCGAGTGCATCTGCAGATGAGGAACGCGCATGTCGCGAGCAAAGGTTGCCCTAACAACTAGATTTCAGCAGCCGAGTCAGGAGCCAGAAAAGAGAACGCGGCATCTGTGTTGATCTAGCCCTGCCGACCCACTACACGCCTTAGCCAATCAAGCTGGAAAAAGGCGCACTACGTGCCTGACGCAAAACAGTTGCTTCAAGCTAGAAACTCTCTTCGCCGCTATTCTGAACATCTGAGCAGGATAAGGTAACTACTTCACTTGGTGTATTTCATGTGAACATTGTAACCGTGACCGCTGAAAACACGCGAGTTGAGCATGACGCATGACCCATCTACGAGGCACGCTTGATTAGCCAGCAAAATAAAAACATGCCAATATTCTCACAACTGCTGGGAATGCTTCAGGAATGTTGCTGAGGATACCTCTGCGCGACCAAAAATCCGGCCAACTCCCGTGTCAGGTTACATGTTAATTGGTGGGAGAGAGTAATGCTTGTGAGATGACCGTGTACATCAACGTCCACATTCAGGAGAAGCACCTCGGAAAATGACTAGATCCAAAGACGACAGGCCTTTTGGGACACTCCGCGAACCGGCCCTCTTAAGTGTGGCCAGGATAAAAAGGCTGGCCCCATTCAGTGCAGTGCTGCGGCCCATTCTCGGCCCAGCAGTGCTGGCGAATTCGCGCCGCGGAGCCGGCGCTTTGCGCAAGCCCCCGGAAGGCGGGCTCAAAAAGCAAAGGGAATCCTAGGGTTTCATCATATCCTGGAAGGCTTTTTGTCTGCACACTCACTCAGGGCGGGCCCACTCCAGCCGTGCTGCCATGCCATGCAAAATAGGAAAACCAAGGATTCACTCCCCTTTTTCCCCGTGGTTTTCAAGTGGCGCGACATGGATTTGGTCTCCACAAAGAACCTCGTTAGGGTTTCATGTTGGGCGCTCCGCCCGCTTCCGCTGGGCTCGAGCCTGACGCCTGGGACCAATCGACCCAGGCTCGATGGGAGGCTCGCGCTTTCCACCCGGCCAATGAGACGTCTCTGGAAAAGGCTCCCGTTGAAGTCTCGGCGTCATTTCATGGGAAAAGAGGCGCGGTTTCCACGCTTCATTGCTTGCGGGTGGGCGTGCACGCTCTTTCGGCGTGCATTGCCAGGTGCAGTTCCATGAATTGCGGGAAAGCATTCAAAGGCAGGGCCTCGCCAGGCCGGCCTCAGGCCAACTGACAGCTGCAGCGCAACGATGCTCATCCGCTCAGAATGGAGAAAGCTCTCCTGGCGCATGCAGGATGTCCCCTCTGCCAACAAAAGTCTGGCAATCAAGCCGACTGACCGGAACTGTTTTCTGTATGTTAATACACATTGTTAAACTGTTGTCTGAATTGGCCCATTTGGCCGCACTCCATCCTGGGAGCCTTCCGGCACAAATTTCTGGGCAGCCCAATCTCTGAACGTGGCAGGCACGCGCTTGGCCAACTTCTAGGCATTCAATCGAACCCCAGCTTCCAAGGGTGAAGCTTGGGCAGCCAAACACCTAACTTTTTCAAGTCTTTCATGAAAGCTGAAGGGCCTGCGAAGGGGTGAGCTGCTTTCTGTTTGCCACTGCCCAGCCTCAGCCCTCCAAGCCGGTGAGCGTGATGTCCTCCTGCGGCTCAAAGTGGTGCCTGGCCCAAGTGCGCTTGAGAGCTTGCAGCCTCCCTGCAATGCGTCTCTTCACATTGGGTACAAGGGCAAGGGCATGAGAGGGTCGCAATCAGTCACCAGGCACAGCGGACTTCCTAGGCCTGTTTTTCCCCCAAAAGCATCGCGAAGGGTTCTTCCAGCAAAGCCGGTGTGTTGTGCACAGCTCACCTGCATAGGGAAAGTAGACAGTGAAATGCATAGAGGCATGCATAGGGAATGCACACACTGAAAAGCATAGAGGCATGCACAGGGAAAGTAGCCAGTGACATGCATCGAGGCATGCCTAGGTAAGTACACAGTGAATTACGTAGCCATCTTGCATTCCTTCTCGCACGAGCACGCTTTCTTAAAACTAGTATCTTAAGGTGGCGCGGTGGGACCAAGCGCACTCTGCAAAATCGAGACCCTCTCAAGGATCGGCATGATCGATGTGCAAAAACTGCGGGGTTTTTGTTATTTGCGCTTCTTGCGTGACGCGCGCGACCCTCTGCGATTTTCAACTTGCCCGCGCCCGCAGAGGGATTGGCGTGGTCGATGTGCAAAAACTGGAGCTTTTTTGGCGATTTCTGCGGTGCCTGCGCGACCTCGGCTGGATCGGCGTGGCCGAGGTGCAAAAACGTGGGTTTGTTTTGCGTTTTCTGCTCCTCTGCGGGGATAGCGCGTGTCGGATCGCTCTCGCTATGGTCCCTTCGCGGTTCGCGCGCGACCCTCTGCGGGGATTGCGTGTGTCAGATCGCTCTCGCTGTGGTCCCGTGTGAATCTTCGCGGTCTGCGTCTGACCGTCTGCAGTGATCAGGCTGCAAAGTCGTAACTTTTAAGTACAAAAGTAGTACGTCCCCGCAGCTCCGGCTGTGCAAAGTCGCAACTTTAAATCGAAGTACGTCCCCGCAGCTCCAGCTGCAAAGTCGTAACTTTTAAACTTTTAAGTACAAAAGTAGTACGCGAAGTACGTCCCCAGCTTCGGCTCCAAAGTCGGAAAGTGCACAGTGAAATGCATAGAGGCACGCACAGAGAAAGTAGAGAGTGAAATTCATACAGGCATGCGCAGGGAAAGTAGACAGTGAAATGCGTAGAGGCATGCAGAGGGCAAGTACTGAGGCAAGTGCATAGACGCATGCACAGAGAAAGTAGACAGTGAAATGCATAGAGGCACGCGTAGGGCAAGTACAGAGTGAAGTGCATAGATGCATGCGCAGGAAAAGCAGACTGAAATGCATAGAGGCATGTGCAGGGAAAGTAGAGTGAAATGCATAGGGGCATGCGCAGGGAAAGCAGACACTGAAATGAATAGAGGCCTGCAGAAGGCAAGAGTGAAGTGCATAGATGCATGCGCAGGGAAAGTAGGCAGCGAGATGCATAGAGGCATGCACAGAGTAGACAGTGAAATGCACAGATGGAAAAAATGGACCGATTCAGGCTGCGTGTCATAGAAAATGCTTTCGGGCCACCCGTCTTCTAGTCTTTCATGGGCACAAGGGCAAGGGCATGAGAAATCAGCCCCCACCAGATACTAGCAGACCCCTTCAGCCATTCAAAACCCAACCCTCGGCCTCATATGCGGTGATGACAGCGGAGATGCAGCGCCCACTCGCCTTGGCGAGACCCAGTGGCCAGGGAGCCAAAACCCAACATCCGTCCTTTTTTTTGGGGGGGGGTGGACTTTGAAGGGGAACCCTCCCCAAAACAAATGAAAAAAAATGCAAAGGGCGGAATCCACTGGGCAACTGGGTGCTGGCTTGCTTTGACGATCACTGTCTGAGCGCCGCATATGCAGCAGCAATGTCTGGTGGCAAACGAAAAAGCCAACAGCAGTCGCAGAAAAAGGCCTTACAACAACCGTCCTCTTCAACCGCCTGATACGCTTTGGGGCTTCCCATGTGGGGGGTGATCAAAAGGTCCTTTGCGTGGGATGACCATGAAAGAAAACCACTAAACCAATGATAATTCCCACTAAATAGAAAAAGTTACCCATGGTCAAAACTAAAACTGGGGCCCTTAGACAGACTATTGATCAACCCCTTCCATCCCCTCGGCCAGGACTCCAGCCGCAACTGCAAACAACCCAACAGAGGCTCCCAGCCCGATGAGGTTCCGCCGCACCTGGTCAGCGCTGCGCGCCTTGGGCTTGGGCGCGTGCACCAGCACAAACCTCAGAGATCCGAGCGGGGCGACTCTCGCGAAGTCGTGGGGCGGGGCCGAGCGGTCGCGCTGTGCGAGAGGGCTGTGCAGAAAGGGGCACAAACGTTGCTCTGCGATTGGGAGGAGTGGATTTCCCATTCACCAAACGATTGAAAAAGGCACTTTTCGGGCGAGGAACAACGTCCCCCCTCATTGATTCACCGGAGTTTGCACATTTCCCTCTCTTGGAAGTGCCCCCAAAGCGTCCCCAGCTCACTTGCGCCCCAAACCTGCAAATCGTTCCTCAGGAGACGGCTGGGGCTGGCCCCCGTTGAGGCTGCCAGTGGTGAAGACTGGCATAAGCTTCCACTCGCTACCTGGGGCGTCGTGCTGACCGGCCCCACGGATCTAAGCGAGCTGGCCTCTTGGACGAAGCCCGGGTGAAGGGCCTTCATCTTCTCCTCGTAAAGGCCCACAGAGACGCTAGACCCCTAGGAAAATATCCGGAAAAACCAAGGGGTAGCTACAACCACCGTGGTTTACCTAAGGATTTATCATCCAAAATTTGGTCCACCATTCTTTTAATGGGGCTTGAACACATACTCCGTCTCTGGGGGCGTCTTGAAGCGGTGTGGTTCCTGCAGTGGACGCAGGACTCGCGAAGGTCGGACTCGGAATCTGCTCCTGGCGAATTCCACGCTCCGCGAATTCCGAGCAGTTTACGGGCAGCTGCGCATATTCACTTTCCAAGCAGCCAAGGCCAACCCGGACACAATGAAAAACGAGAAAAGGAGGGCGGGGATGGCGGGGATGTGGTGCGGAAACGTATTCACCCCAACAGCTCCGCACAGATTGCCGATCTGCACCCTTGGTTCACTCTGCAGCCTGTCCTCTGCCGCTTCGGCCCTGGGTCCAGCATGCAGATTTGATACGGCGGGCTGAAACCCAGCCAAGAACCACCACGGCTTGTCAAAACTCGGTTGGTGTTGGCTCCTCTGCTGAAAGTTTAACTTTAGCGGTTATGGAAAACCCATTAGTTGGCAAAAAGTTAAAGTCCTAGCATCCAAGCAAAATGCACTAAAGAAAAGAATGCCCTTTGGCGCCCCGACTTCAATTGCGAGTGCAGCCGCTGCCCGCCCTTGAAGTAGCACAGGAGGCCTTCCGCCGAGTCTCACGGAGTCTCTGTGCCTAGAGGCTGTGCTCCAGGCATGGGCAAAAGGTCACGCCAGCAGTGCGCCGACTGTCTGGGTGTGTCTCATCATTTTTTGCACCACGACACTCGGCCTGAAATGATCACCACGACACTCAGGAAGTCATGCAACTGGCAGGGCACCGCATCCTCACCTAAGGAGACGAAGCTTCCATGAAGCTTCCCACAAAAACCAGCATTGCGCCAAACCAACGGAAGCAAAACCCATCGCTAGTCCGGTGGGTTGGCATCTCCAGTTTCGCTTGCGCGCGCGAAGGCGAAAGGCCCCGGGCCCATGATGAGGGGAGAGCTGAAGGCCTCTCCGCCACACACCGGTCACAGGTCACGGATACCGCCCCACTCTGAGGGTTTTTGTATTACACCCTGGGATTACACCCTTGGGAAATGACCAGAATGCTTCTAAAATAACACGGCTCTATCCGGACATGCGCCATTTTGGGGTCAATACCCCGTGTATTCCCAGGGTGTTATGCAACCCTTAGCCCCAGAGGCACCACGCCAAGGCAAGACTTACAGGCCGGTGGCACAATGGCCGAGAGCGGCATGCGCAAGGTGGAAACCATGAAGGACCTAAAGCGCAAGGCACACCAAACAACATGCTGAAGCCCGGCTGCCCCCCCAAGGCCAGAACATGGCCGCTGACCCGTGCTTGATCACCAGCACCGCGAACACATTCCTGTCCAGTGCGCGCATGCGCGTTCCCATGTAGAGCTCGCCAAAGGTGCTCAGAAGAGTGATGGGCTTTCTGCGTCGCAACGCTACTCCCTTGAATGGCTGTGGGTCAAAGATAGGGACCCAAAATGGAACAAGCGGCACGTGAGCCATACACTAAGTCCCTTTGTGCTGAGCGTCAACAGCAGGTTGAAGCCCAAGTAGAGAAAGACCTCAGGAGATCTGCTCCGATTTTTCATTGGACATTTGAAGTGAAATCAGGCACTCATCACTACTGGCTCCGGTGTTGTTTCTTGGGAATCACATATTCTGAAATCACGCTTTTTGGGGGCATCACTACTCAACATAACACAAAGCGGTCGGACGGGCAGGCTTCACGTACGAAAACCCAGGGAGACCAGGGGACAACCACCTGCTTTGGCACCAGATGATCTGACTGCTTCTTGCCCAACGCCAGGCCGCCAAAGGTTCCAAGAGTTTGCCGTTAGCCAGGCGCGGATCGAGCGTTTTCGCAGCGCGCGGATCTGCGTGGCGAGCGGCGAGCGGCCTCAGGGCCTTTGCCCTATCAGCTGCCAACCAACTCGTGACGTGACATGCTTCGCAGCACGTGGTGCCAGAGCCACTGCTCTTGCCTTCGCACTCATTTGCAGGGCCTCCTGCCCTGTTGAACAATCAAGCCGGGTCAAAGACGGAATCTGGCTCCAGCACAATGTAAAAGTCACACTGGACAGCTCAAGAGACGCTTGCAAGCACAGCAACACTCCACATCAATGTCCCCAACGCGCTCACGCGCTACCACAACTGTCAGTGATGAACGGTGTCGGGCCAAGGCTGGCACGGCGGGTTCGGGCGAGGCTCTTCTTGTTTTTTGTTGTTTTTTTTTTTGGGGGGGGGGGGTTCGGGTTCGGGGGGTCGGAAGCCTTTGGCATAAGCGTGCGACTATTACGCGGTGAAACTCAGCCTGCAGCTAAAAAGCGAGTCCTTTGGGTGCATGTCGAGCACGGAAAGGCATACGCCGGGCCAATCACCTGGCCCATCCAGGCATTTGGCTTCCTGGCGTTGAACCGATTCGAGGGCCTGTGGCCCATGAGGGACCTGGGCATCCTTGAAATCAGTCCCTGGATTGGCTCAAGCTGTGCCCTGTTTTTAGGGCATGCTGACTCTTGGCCAGCACCAGAAACTGCTCAGCACACCATGGACTCCACCAAGGAAATCTCCGTCGTACCTGCCGAGCGTCCGAGCGTCCGAGCGTCCCACGGCGCGCGCCACTGCCACACGGGGGGGTTCCCAAGTACAGGCTGGAGCAGCACTTTGCAAAAACAGGGGCCTGGGGCCTCGGCAGATCTCGGCAGCAATGAGCCTCCCCCCCCCTCAAACCCTGTCCAGTGTTTGTGGGGCTTTTCCCTCGTGGCCAAGAGGAAACGTCCAAATCCCAACATTCGCATTGCAACGCAATGAAAACCTCTTCACATCAAGCCCAAACACAAAACCACGTGACGCTCTCTGAGACCCATCCGATTCACCCACTCTCCCACTCTCCCCCCCCCCCCCTCCTTGCAACGGGGTAATCTCCTCGAGGCGGCCAGGCTGTGAACTGCGCATGATCTTTCGCAGGGCGCTGCTGACTGATAAGTCATGGTTCGCCGTCTCCTGCCAAGCTGCACATGCCCCTGCCAAAAGGGAAAGTCTCAGTTGAGATAGCAGACTCTGGCCCAAAGCAAGCAAGGCAAGTATCCTATATAGGTTAACGACACCATATCAAGTGCTGAGCAGATTCTCGGCCATTCCCGCCTCCGTTCGGGACCAGTTCTTGCTGGTCATATTCAAAACGTAAGTGTTGTTCCCCGAGCGGGCTATCTTGGCATTCTCCAGGCCTGAAATACGGACCAAAGGGCATGCTTCCTGGCCATGTGTGACTTGCTGATTGTAAGCCATTGCTCCTGACGCCACGTTACTCATCATGCGCCAGATGTTGCCAGGGCACATGAATAGAAAACGCTGCGCGATCGCACTGCAGCTGTGAAGGCCGCTAGGTCTGCCAAGTTCACCGTCACCTTCACGCGGCAGCAGGAAAACTGTCTTGGACGCGACAGTCGGGCATCAGGCATCAAACTCGGCATGCACATATTTCACACACACGCGAGGACGCCAGCATCGCAAGCTTGAAAAGCAAGCTCACGAGCAAAGCCCATCCTTTTGCACCTCCAAAGCCGCTCGCCCCTTGGTCTAAACCTCTGATCAACGAACCCCCGTCTGAGCAAGGCCCAATGCCAAGAAGAGCCTAGCGCCCCGAGGCCTGGTGGGGCAGCACGTTGATGCCCAGCTGGGTCCAGGTGATCTCCACCAACTCCACCAGCAGCACCAGCATGGCGCTCAGGCCCACCTCCCCCCGCTCCGGGCCCACCCCCGGACCCCAACCCCCAAACCCCCCCCCCCCACCCCCGGGCCCCGCAGAAACCGGGAGCACTGGAGGACTGCAGGCTCGGTAGGTGAGATGCAACCGTCCCTTCTTTTGAGATGCAACTGTGGGGGCTGGGGCGGGAAAAAATTCGGCCATCCACTTAGCAACATGTTCTGCGCAAAAGCGCCACGACTTTTCTGCGCGTGGTAACACGCCCACTGACCAAGTTGCTGAGAAGCCGTGCAGAAGCCACGCCCGGCAGCCCATTTCAGAGGGCCCCGCCTTCCCGTTCTTCTGCGCATTGGCAAAGCCTAGGGATCGCAGGCCGCAACTCTGCTGCGAACTGCCCTCAGACGACTGCCCGACTGCGGTGCAGGAAAGCCACAGGCCGGAAGATAGCTGAAAAGCACCGCATGGTAGTGAATGCCATCTGCTAAGAGGAAGTCCTTGTGCAAAGGTGCGAGATGTTCAAAGCAAGCGCACATCAGCTCAAGCCAAGCTCGAAGGAAAAAAGATGCTCAGATTCCAACCCGGTCACGCAAACAGCCATGTCATGTGTGCGTGAGTCAGATGAATCAATGCCGTAATGGGGCACCCACACAAAAAGATTGTATCTAAATCAAATATGTTCATCAAGACGTTGATCCCAACGCTGCTGCTCTTCCCAGTGCCAATCACAAATCCACGAGGCCTGAGCAGCCTAAACCCTAACAAATCGGAGCCCGAAATTTTAAAGCTTCAACGTCGAACCTTTGGCCAAATGCCGCATCTGCATTTTCGGACCGCCCAGGCGATCCTCCTTGCCAATCAATATCCTGACAAACCCCAACCCTAAGCATCTGCTAGCTTGTGGGGCTGCAGGTTGAAACTGATGTGAGTACCCTCGCTGCTTGACTCCAGATCTGTGCAACGCCAGCTACGGTATCTGACGCTGCCACGAGTCAGTCAGCGCTTCCCTTTCGGATCGGGCCAGGCTGGTCCAGCTGCTGTAGGCCGATTCCAAGGCTTTGCCTGCTCCTTAGCTTCAGCCCGGCTCAGTGGCCGCTCCATCTGTCAGTCTGAACTGGCCCTTCGAATGATCATGGAACCAGCTTTTCTGCCCAAACCTTCCAAAAGAGCCTTGGCTTCGGCTAGCCTTGATTAAACAAAAAACACTAACTTCCCATTACATGGGGTTGGCTTCCAAGCTGCGTATGCGGCAAACGCATGCCATTCGCAGGAAGGCAAGATCTTCCAGTGTGTTTGTGGCCAGCCGGAGAGAGCGGCCCCAGTGGCAGAGGTAGCCTCATGAGGCGCATGTCAAGCAAGGCAGCTCCCAGCCCAAACACTGGGAATTCTATAACTTTTGTCATGACGTGTGGCCCTTTTTTTGATTTAACTGCTTCCTTGACCCTGTCTCTTCACCCAAGCGGCTCCAGTAAACCTCCTGGCTGCTCCGTTGCTGTAGCAGTTGCAAAGATTCCAGGCTGAAAAGCACCGACTGCAGAGTGCTGCTCGTCAGGAAGGGCGAGCTAGTGCAGCCTGTGGGCAGTTCCGACAGAGGTCTCTTGAGAGGGGGCTGCTGAAGTAGGCGGGCTGCTTGCGAGGGAAGCGCGCTCCGAGCCGGACAGCACAGAACATCTTGATGAGACTAGGAGGCCGCTTGGCTGCCCCGGATCTACCCCTTCCCTTTCTGTTCATCTCTCTTTGGTGAAAGCCAAAGAAGTGAAACTTGCGCGACAGCAGTGCTTTTGTTTTTGTGGGACAAAGCAGGCCCAACTGAAACCTAGCTTTGCGCCATGTGGGGGATGATCTTGCAAACCGCAGCCCCCCCCCCCCGGGGTCCTGCCACAAAGATGGTGCACCCAGAACCATGTAAAGAACTAAGAAGGCGGATATCCGCAACTATTTATGGTTGGGATCGTCCCTTACTACCCTTCATCTACCCGTTTTTTTGTTTGTCTGTTTTCTTGTTTTTTTTTGGTGCGCACGTGGCTCAAGTGAAGAATGAAGCTTGTGACCGCGCAAGTTCCTCTTTCACAGCTAGCAAGTATCATGGGGGCTGGGGGGCAGGGAGGGGAGGGGGGGGAGCCCAAGAACCTCTTATTAAGCCCTTATTAAGGTTTTATTTAGGGCTTATTTGGGCTCCTCCTCCCCTCCCTCCCCCCCAGCCGCCATAAAAGTACCCAGCGCCCTGGCCTGGTCTGGCGCCGATGCCTGCCAGCATGGTCAGCGCCGAGAAGAGGAAGAGCTTGTAGGTCCACTCGCTGTGCTCCGACGCCCTGCCAAAAAATATATATATATATATTAAAAAAAAAAGCGGCATGGACAACTTCTTCAGCCTGGCGTGATATGAGTCACAATCAAAACCCGGTATCAAAAATAGCCGTAATCCCAGAACGTAAAGAATGAAGAAGGCAGATATCCGCGACTAATTATGGCAAGGGGATTGTCCTTTACCAACCTTCATCAATCCCCGGTTTTGAACATGTGGCTCAAATGCAATGCCCCGCATCATACGCCCATTGCTAGATCCAAGAGCCCAGCTTTCGCCGGAGCAGCTGCAAGCTCAAGGGCGTGTTCTCCGCTTGCATGAACTGCCCGAACACGAAGCTCTCGTGCATCCTGACTTCAAAACAAAAAATATCCTGGCAACAAAGTCCCAACCAATGGCTCTAAATATCTCTAACATAGGTGTCCTTTTAGGGGAAATAGATGGGTTTCCCTGGTAGATGATTAAACCACCAGGCAAACCAGGAATCGCCCTCTATGCTTCAACCAAAATCAACCAAATCAACCCACCTATGATCCCCAAGCCCTGCCTCTGAGCTGCCCAGCTGCCCAGCTGCCCCCTCCCCTTCCCACTTCTCGCCATCCGAAAATTCTGCCGGGGGTCATGGAGATGATCTGCACCAGGTCCAGGGTCTCCATCTCGAGCACCCGGGCCGAGGGCACCACGTTGCGGTGCTTCTCCAGCAGCCGGGTCCTGAGGGCGGCGGCTGGAGATGCGGGCCACAATTCGTTCTTCCAGCGGCCTTGCCAAAAAAAATGTGTTTTTTGTTGTATATATATATATATTAAAAAAAAAAAAAAAAAAAAAAAAAAAAAAAAACATGGCCATGGTCATACAGCGGATGGTTGCGAAATGCGAAGGTGTCTCGCACCACCGGGAGAAACCCTGGATTGGTCTGATTCCCTTGTAAATACCAAGCAAACGTTATGGTCCGCTGTGGCTTCAAAGTGGTGCAGAATTGCGTCCATCCATAGTGCAATTATTCCAGCGTAGACCCCAAACAGATTGTAAGAACGCAATGATGCACTACGCAGGTCAAGCCAACAACAGTGACAGGTCAAGCCAACGACAGTGAACACACTTGTGGCCCGTTCCTAGAAGAGAAAGAACCGCAACAGTAAACCGTTTGGGGCAAAACCAGGCCCCGGCCAGTGGGCTGATCACTGTCGCTACTGCATCCAAGCCGCACCGCCGCATCCGGCAGCTGGGCATGCCGCGGAAGCTGCAGAGTGAGGTTCTTGGACCGCCCCAGGCCTGCACGCCGGTCGGGCGTTTGGGCGTTTGGGATTCGCACTCTTTTGCGACCCGGCGCAAGAGACAGCGTGCCTTTGACCGCAAGGTACACCAAGGTGCCTGGGCTGTGCTGGCGCTTGCGCCCGAGCTGCTCTGGTGCGTGCCAAGGCGCCGTGGATCCAGTTATAGTTGTCCTTGATGCCCACCCAGGCTACAAAGTCCTGGATCTGAAAAGCACACGCAACCGCACACGCAACACAGCCCGAAAAAAAAACCAAGCTGGCGAAAAAAGCGAGAAGCCATGAAGCCACGAACCAAAGGATACAACGACCGTTTTGCTTTCAAGAATGGTGTCCACAAATTGCATTTGCTAAGTCGACCCGCTGTTGAGAATAGGCGTATGCAGAGCTAAGGTCGCAAAGCGTGCTCTTTGCATGCCCTAGTCATAAGGTTCCAAATCAGGCTGCCACCTCACGATCCCGCATTGATTCTAGAAGTGAGATCCAAAGATTTCAAGAAGCCACGGGCTGCCGGAGAGTCTGTCGCGTTTGTCTGCCCCGTCCTGGAGCTTTCGCCACATCTCCTGTGGCACTGGGTCCTTCGCTTGGGCGCTCACAAACTCCTCGTGCCGGTCCAGTGCCAGCCAGAAGACACCTCGCGCACTGGGCCCTTGGAGCCTTGCTTCTCGAAAGGGTGCCCGATCTCTGCCAATATTGCAGCCCTCTTTGTCGACTCCGCTTGTTTGCGTCTTAGTCGGTCATCGTGTGGCAATGTGTTGGTTGTTCACCTCGTTTTGATCTTGCTTTTTGAGGGCTGAGAAGATTGCAAGGGCCGAAGCGCACCAATCCAAGTAGCCCTCAAAACAAATAAGTACCCCTTAGCATCCTCAGCTATCGGTTCCCATGAAACAAATGCAGCAATGAGCTGCTGCCACTGGCACACATCATGCACGACATTGCACGGTGCCGCTCGCCGTCACTGGTGAACTTGGCGAGAGCACCCCCTTCTGCGTCCAGTTCTGGGAAAAGCCTCGCCAGGAATGCCACGCTTGCCATGCTTGTAGGGGCAACGACTGAGCAAACATTTTGGATAGCAGGCTGCGCCACGAGCGTGCTCGCATGGACAGGGCTATGTGCCACTTAGGGCAAGGACCGGTCCACGTGTCACAAAACAGGCCGATTGGCGGCTCGAGCAAGACCCCGGGGCGTCGAAAAAAATTGAGCCACCTCATGCACTTCCCTTGTTGCCCTTGGTGCCCTCGCCACCCCACCCTGACGAAAGGCCTCTCAAGCTCCGCTAGGATCTGGTCGCCTGGCAAGACAGCATTCATGTGAGCATGCGGTGTGCGCGGCACTGCCCAAGAGTCTGCCAAAGAGCTTCTCGGTGCAAGGAAGCAACATGGCCGGTTCTCCCCCCAGTGAACATCCCAATCTCCACTCAAATAGACTAAAATGGGTGTGCACCTACCCCAAAATGGTACCATTGGTTTTGACCCACAGCAACATCAACATCTGCGAGTCTCCAATTTTGTCACGATGTGCAAAGGCGCGGGCGCCTTTTACCATCCTCCCGGACATGACTTCGTCGATGAATGCCATTATGGCCTCGCGTTTCGAATGAGAATATGCAACCGCGTGAGGCGCTGCAAAACCACAGCAGCTCCTGCCTCTCGCGATGGCAAAGGCTTTCGAGACTGGAACTGCTGGACAAGCTTGTCCTGGGACGCATTCCGGCATGCTCATGTATAATCCGGATCAATGACTGCTTGCGCCCCAAATTGCTTGTGCACCCCAAGATGCTGGAAATGCATGATGCATGGAACCCACTTCTATGGAAAAAGCGCGTGTGACAAACAAATCAAAGCCCTCTCAAATGTAGGGGAAGGCTGTTTACAGCGCTAAGGTCGAATGATACATTGCCACTGCTGCCACTGGCGTGCTTGCCCCAAGGCGCATTGGACAGGTTCTTCAGCTGGAATACGTCGGTTTGCTCGCAGCAAGCCCGTGCCACGCTGTCGGACAGGTTTTCGTCTGCTGGTATGGCTTCGCCGTTCAACTTGGTCTGGAGGTTGCGGGCATACTGGTACACAAAGCCGCAGCACTCCGGGTACTCCTGCACACGGCAGAATGTAGACCGCCAACACCCAAAGCAAGAGCAGGCAGCAGCCCATGGCACCTGAATCGCAGCCGCCAGAGCTGAGGGCTTCAACAGAAAGATATCCTTGGCACGTTGCAGAGCCAAGCATGCACGGTCCCCACGAGGGAAGGATGCTGCACCGGCCGCATGGGTGTGCCGCCAATCTTTCTGCAGCCATGCGTCATTGAACTGAACGCTTTGAAGGGTGCAGGTATGCTGCATATTGATGTAGAGTGCAATCTCAGCAAAGAAGGTGAACTCCTGGGCCATGGCACGGGAGTTAATTAATGCATTGACACAGTCGGGAATTGAAAGGAGGCCCTGGGGCTGTCTGTATGACATGGCGCTGTCTGAATGACGTCGGTAAGCTCGTCGGCAACTTCCTCCTGTGCGATGACTTGCACAAATAGCGGCGTTGAGAAAGCAGATCAAGAAAACGTCAAAGGTAGCAAAATGCCACTAGCACTGTTTTAGGGGGGGAGGGGAAAAAAAACAAAAACAAAAAACGACTTCCGACATCCCAATCTCTTGCAACATCAAGCCACCTGCAAACCTTCAAGGCCATAGCGGCCACTACTGTGGATGGTCGAAATCCTGCACCACCTCAGAAGACCCTGGAAGGATGATTCCCCTGTAAATACCAAACAATGGTTTTCATGGTTTTCAAGTGGTGCTGGATTTTGTCCATCCACAGTATGCCTGGCGAAGTGCTTGGGGGTTCTCTGGAACTGTTGGTGGGCCAAGTTCAGTCCTTGTAGTGC